ACTCTGCCATCACCTTTTCCTTACCCCTTCTCACACAGATCAAAGTCACTCGTTTCTCCAGTGACTTCAACAAATTCTTTAAAAGAGAATCCTATTCTTTCCATTTGCATTTCCCAGATATTCCTTTTGCAGTGTCCAAATGCAGCCACCCCCGGCCTTCCCCACGGGCACAGCTGGCAGCACCATGGGCGGCCGGAGCATCTAACAACTTCATGGAGACTGGAGGCCACTGCTGGCCCTGCCTGGGATGGGCCATAGTGTCAGGGACTGCCCGGCACTGAGCCCACAGCTGACTCACAGCCGCGGCCTGGCCCCACACGTCCCCACAGGACCCCAGCCCAAGCTCCCAGTTCTGCCCTTTCACGCCCGGTCCTGCCGCTCCTTGCCTTAACCATATTTCTCTGCACTCCTCTTATTGCTCCCCCAAGCATGGATTGTCGAGACCCCTTCTCAACTCCCCCTATTGCTCCCCCTGGGCATCCAATGTCCTTGGGAGAGTGTGCAAACCAACTCGATATTCTACCAGAGGACTCTTCAGAGATATTTTGGGATCGTCATCCCTTTTGCCAGGGCCCCTTCGCAGCTTTACCTTTGCAACCCTCCATGGGTGCCCTGCCAGGTTTACCTGTGCAACCCTCCATGGGTGCCCTCCCAGGTTTACCTGTGCAACCCTCCTTGGGTGCCCTCCCAGGTTTACTCTCCGAAGTTCTCCTTTTACTCACCGGTGAGATTTTCAGTTCTCCTTCCCTGCGGACTCTTCACGGACCCCCCTGCTCTGCCACTCGTCTGTCTCCTGGACAGTCTCGGGAACCCAATCAATCGCCCAGTGCCAGTTGCCACCAAGGGGAGGTGATCACCAAAACTGGGTGAGGCGCGCCTTCAGCTCCACTTGCTGTCAACAGCCCCTGGAAGATGGAAGACTCCCAGACCAAACACCCATTTTGTCAGGAAAATTAATCCACAAGAACCAGAGGTTTATGTCCAAAAAGGAGACAGAGGATTCCCGCAACTTTATTCATGAATAAAGGGAGAGGTCATGGGCATTTCCCATGGGGTCTCTCRAATTCATAGAGGATGCAGCCTTTTTTATCCCAATTTCCCAACCACAGTTCCCCCTCTCTTTCCCCATTGGCTGAGGTACTCGAGAGGTACAAGCTCCCCAAAA